GGGCTTGGTCCAGGAAGCCCTGTGGCACCAGCCAGGTGTTTTCCCGCTGTCTCCTCCCTCAGCGCCACCAATCAAGCCTGCCCCCAGCCCCACTCTGGAACTCCCCCCCCCTCCAACGCTCTACGTTTTGAGCAAACCGCCACCTGCCCGGTTATCCCCAGAATGAAGCATCTTGTCCGGTTGCCAAGGAAATGGCCCCTGTACTCAGACACAGCTCAGCGCAACGGCCAGGCACAGGCAATTACTAATATTGCATCCAAAATCAGAGCCGGTTTTAAACCATCAAATCGATGCTGGAAAGGCTGACTGTGCAAATGAGAATTCCTTGCCTTAATCCTGCCCCTGCACCGGGATTTCCACGAAATACCCAAACCGTGGCTGCCCGCCCTATGAATTGCTGTGCACTAGTGAGACAGCTGCCGTGTTTTGCCCCAGAAGTGGCTGCATATAAGTGTGGGGTCGGAGGTCTAAAGTGACCATCTGCCTAGCTGGCCGTGTGCAACACACTCTGGGATCCGTATAGACCTGTGACAATCGCACATCCTAATTAGATAGCACATTTCTTCGGAGGACCTCAAAGCACCTTCCAGCCTTGAATGAACTCACAGCACAGCCCTGTGAGGCAGGCACATTGTCATCATCCCTGTGACCCAGAGGGGAAACTGAGGCATGGGATGCACAGTTGTGTGCCCAATATCACACCACACATTAGGCGCCTAGCGGGGATTGGAATTCTAGGTTCCCAGCTGTGTGTATTAATCACCACACCATGTCACCTCCCTAAAGATATACAATTTAATCACTGTGGGGTTGTCTGGACCAGGGGTGGGGTCCCCTTAGGATCAAGAAGTTACTACCATACTACTGGGGGGGGGGGGCCTCCAGGATTTATAATAGTGTTAAATGTCTGAAAAGTGTTTTGAATCAATGGGGGAGAGGGGGTGACGCTCCGCAGCTCGCTGTGCGAAAGGGGTCACCGGCTCACCCCACCAGTCTACGCTGGTGTGCAGGGGTGTGACTGCGGCTCACGGGGACCTACCTGCGCGAGCATTAACCCAGCTAGTTTGGCTCCTGGAGCAGCGCGCCGCCAGCCCTGCAAGTCACTAGCCAAGGTCCCAGGCAGGCCTGTGTGGCCCCCGCTGGAGGCAGAGGCAAGGTTAAAGCAAGCTCAGGACTGGTCCACACAAGCTGTTCTCAGACCCTGTGACAGCTGTATAGCCAGCCCGTATTCCCCGCTGGCTGGTCTCTCCTGCTGGCCTCCAGCCCCGTATTCCCCGCTGGCTAGTCTCTCCTGCTGTCCTCCTGCCTCACAGGTCAGAAGCCCGTCGGCAGGGCACAGACCCACGCAGAACTGACGAGGTCTGCTCCATACCAGTCTCCTGGCAGCAGAAATCCACAGTATCCCCCTGCATCCCAGAGATCTCCCTCCAGTGCCTCCCTGCCTGGCAGTCCTGCACAGGCCCCTGCACCTGGCCTGAAAGCAGCTCCAGGAACGGAGCCAGCTCGTGAGGACTCAGGGAGTCGGAAGCACTGGGATCACATCATTGCTGAGCCAGCCCCCAGGAAGGGGGAGGGCAGGAGCCAAAGCAGTGGGTCTCTCGGAGCATGGAGCCCACTGGGGTTCCTCATAAGCCAAGCACATGGGTGGCTGCCCAGGAGAGATTAGCAGAGATCAGGTGCTGCCCAGCTGATTAGCAGCACGCCCACAGCCTCCCACAGCTGGCAGCACGTTTCATCTGGTGGTGCACATCTGCACATGCCTTTGTACACCTAGCAAAATTTATTCAGGTTGTGGATGGAAAAGATTAAAGGGAACACTGGTGAAAATAAGGTCATTTGGAGCCATTATTACAGAGTAGTGGGCTAATAATCATTATAATTCATAAATAAATATATAGCTGTTATGTAGTGCTTTTCATGTGTAAATCTCAAAGTGATTTACAAAGTGTGAGATCAGCTCTTATAAACCCAGCTCACGGCCCTATGCTCGCTTGACTATGTACAAAAACACCAGCTCCTGCGTTGACAAGAATAGAGAGCTCATGCTGTTAAAATTTAAGTCTGGAATGTTCACAGTTTTCCCTGTCAAAGGGGATTGACTCCTCCCTCCCCCCCACCAACTTTGGCTTGTTCCTGTTTTCCTATCTAGGCCTCACACAGAGCAGAAGATAGGCTGTGGTGTGCCCCTCGTTTACAGGGTTTGGCATGAAGGATTGTTGACCAGTTGCTTCTGTGATTAAGATAAATTCTGTTGTCCGGATCAGCAGACTATCTGGTGTGTCTGTCATTTACCACTTGATTAGTTATAACAAGCTCTGGATGAGTGTGCATGTAGGAGTTGTACCAATTGTCAGTTACAGCCTGGCACCTGGCTGGGACTCTCCAGGCACTTGCTGATCCAAGGCCCTTAAAGTCCCACCAGCGTGCGGGGAAGGGAAGTTTAGAGCAAATATAACACCAGAATTAGCACCCCCCCCCAAATCTTTGATTTAAAAAATCCCTTTTGTGTTAGTTTGAAAGTTTGGAAAGTTCCTCTCATACTCACCCATTGTGTCTGGGCTCAGTCAAGTCCCTCTCACCGCCTTCCCTTTTGTGTCTCTCTTTGTTCAGCCCGAACAAATCCTCTCTCTTCGCTTTACTTTTGCTCTCTGAATATCTCTGGCCTCCTCTTCCAAAGAAAAGGACTTTCTGATTGACAGCCAGCCCCCTTAAAGGGACAGACCACCCTTTTCTCCTCCCCCTCCTCCCATTCTCCCTCCCCTCTCCCTCCCCCTCATGAGAGCTACTCCCTCTGCTCCAGGGTAGCTCGGTCATACCCAGGGGTGGCCCTAGACGAGCTGCCAGCAACTGGCGCCCTGGGCGAGCCATGCAATCGGCGCCCCCCCCCCCCCAAACGCCCCATTGAGCTTGGTGCCCTGGGCAACTGCCTAGTTCACCTCTATGGACAGGCTGCCCCTGCTCGTACCCTGATGTCTCAGGCTGCCCACTTCTCTGCCACAGGTCGGTGCGTTTCCCTGCTGCCAGAAAGCCGGCACGCTGGCCCCTTCGCCTGGGCAGATCAGGCAGCTCTGCAGCAAAGTCCGTGCTTTTGGGAAACTCTTAAAGCACCTCCAAGCGTTTCTAGTCGTGGCCTCTGAAGGGACGAGCGGGTTGGATTTGATTGCATTGGCCATGGGTCTTAGCCGGGACACACAGACACAGAGCTCACCTGGGCAGGGGTTACATGTGGGATGCTAATTACTGTGACAGGGCACAGGTGGCTGAGCTCTCCTGGCCATCCCACATCCCCACTGGTGAAGAGTTTATAACCAGCCATAAAACTCCCCACCAGGCCTGGATCCGGGGACAGAAGCTGCCTCTCCCACAAGGGACCCAGGTGTAACTTGGTTTCTGTGATCAGAAGCTAGCACCAGGCGTGGGTCCCTACCCTTGGGGCTTGGTGGCTTGGATTTGGCACCTGAAGGTTCAAACTCAAGCCTAAGATAGTGAGAATCGGGGTCACTCGGTTTCAGGGTGCACTGGAAGGGAGGGGGCCAGATTCCATTTCCCCCCTTCAGCTCCTGAGTCCAGTTTTAGGGAGACCACAACTTTCCTGCCCGGGGATAAGGGAGCATGAAACGTGCCGCCAGGGGATCTGATGGGGCTGTATCTCCCCAGGGAAACAGCATCACACAAGAGCTGGTGTAACACGGCGGAGTCAGGGCTGGGCTGGCCGCTAGTATCCTGCTCCTCCATGCTCACTGATGCTTGACTGTCTTATGGGCCGAAGAATGCCCGGGCCGTGCGGGCTCTGGGGGTGGTCCTTCTGGGCTCAAGAGATCAGTGGGACAGTAGGGCAAAGCTGGCGCTGCCACACCGTCCCTGGGCTGTGGGTGGGCAGGATCCAGACCTGCCCAGCCAGCCCCACGCCCCAGCACTAACGTCAGCCAGGAAGAAAAGTGCCAGTGCTCCAGCCAGTCGCTTGTGGGAAGCCTTCCAGCCCTGCTTGCCGAGGTGACTTCGAATGGGGGCAGATCTGGCAAGGACGGGGGGATGTGCCTAGGGGTCCCCACTTGTGGGACTCCCTGCTGTAGCGAGAGGCTGCCCCCCGGCACCTCTCTGGCAGCCAGCTGGAAAGCAAGCAGTAGCGGGGCTGTCTGTTGGGTAGGGCGAGTCCCCTCTGGGGCCAGGTGGAACGTACAGCCCCTCGCACTAGATCTCCCTGGGGATCAGCCCCCCCGCTGTCTGGATGGGCTCTTGTGGATCCCAGCGACAGCTTCCCCATGTCCCCCCAAAACCTGGACCTCTGGGCAGACCCTGGGATTCCTCCTCCAGGAAATGAGGCAGCAGCAGCCGCAAGCCCTGGCCATCACGCCCCTCTCTGTCTCCCTCCCCCGGTGCCCTGTCACTCCAAGTCCCCACCCCACTAAGACCCCCCGTTCCCTGCAGTGCTGCCAACGCGGAGGGAGGCCAGCAGAGGGCAGCGTGGCCCTGCCAGAGGCCGCCATGTGCTCTCCGGTGGGCAGGGGGGAACAAGGCGGGGTTGTCCGAGGAGGGTCAA